CTGCAAGCCATGGTACACCTGCACGCAGTCTAACACTCATGTTCATAAAATAAAAACGAATCAATCTTTTTTAAAGCAGTTCATTCTGAGCTTAGTGGTTTATTCCAATAATCTCAGCACTTGAGATGCTGAATCAGGAGGACTGTTGTGAATTTGAGGCCAGCCTGGGCTCTCTGGTCTATATGTTGAATTCTAGACCAACTAAAACTGCATAGTGAGACATTGCCTGCTCCAACACAACAAAAAAAGCAGTTCTTAAAGTGATTGAAATCGCATATAATTAAATATTACTATAAATCACCTATGAGTGGGTGGGTCAACTAATAGAGTGGGGGTGTGTGTGAAAGAACACTTTACAGGAGAAGGAACACTTGTACAGGTGCAGAACCTCAGGGGATTGCTTTTCTATCCAGAGAAGAGAGGGCAGCGGTGTGATTTTTCCACACTGCTACAGTGATGCATTCCTGTCTTGATGTGAATTGAAAACTGAACTTCAGGTCAGCTCGGAAGGATTTTCTTTTGCAATGGAGGCTTTCCGTTTCCAAGTTATCTTAATGGATGGTTCTACATCATCTGTGGTTGCATTAGTAAGTGTGGTGGCGAGCTATTTTATGCGATAACAGCCTATGGCTATCATGTGACATTGTGGAACCTCTCAGCTTTGCATTTAAGGGCTGGCTTGAGTCCTAGGGCTCCCTTATGGAAAATGGGATCACTGTGACAGCTCTCAGATAGATAAGGTCCTGGCAAGACACATCTCTATGTGCTGACAATGATTCCTTGATACCCAATCACCAAAGGGGACAGAAAGGCAGAATTATGAATGAGACCCCTGGAAACTGCTTAGGTCGTCAAGCAGTTGACAAACGAGCAATAGAAAATCCAAACTGTGTTGAGCTTCATTTGGTTTGAAATGTCATATCAACAGTGAAAGACTCCGTATGACCCGTAATTAACCCTGAGAAAAGTTGCCAAGTTACAAATGGGTTTAAAGTGTTATCTGCCTAAAGAATCATAGGCAACGTGCTGAAATATGGTTTTACTTCTTGACACTCTTTGCTTTCTGTGGTTAGTCATGACCCAAGCCTGGCTCTTACCTCTTTCAAGCATACATAAAAAAAGGGGGAGGGTATCAAATCATGAAGCCCAGGATGACTTCAAACTCTCTGTGTGAAGGGATGACCTTGAATTTCTGATCCAGCAACCGTTTGTGCCAGACTGAGATGGAGGCCTGGGTTTTGTACTATGCAAATGTTTTGCCACCTGAGCTTTATTCCAGCCCCTCCCTTCAGTCCCCTCAGCTCTTGGTTGGCTTCGGCTATGGATCCAGCATCCACAGAAACCTGAGGGCAGAAAGACTTTGTGGGAGGGGTGGGGTGGCAATGTCTCCCACAGACACTTAATTCCAGGTCTCCAGCAAAGGTTTCGAGAGATGAATAGCTGAGGGCTGAAAAGAGGGCTCAACAGGCTAAGAGCACTTGCTGCTCTGGCAGATGACCAATTAGTTCCATTCCTAAGCACCCACATGGTGGCTCCCAGTAATCTGTTGTGCCCAGAGCATCTGTGGTGCACATAAAATCATGCAAGCAAACACACCCACACACACATAAACAAAACTGCCTTTTTTCAAAAAGATAAATATTTGCCATGAAACAGATTAATTCGGTAACCTAAAGAGAACAGGGACCCTGGAGCAACCCAACCTGTCCACTGACAGTCACGGAACCTTCAGGTGAGGGTGAAGCCACCTCAGGACTCCAGGTTTGCTCACAGGTTTCAGAGTCCAAGGAGGTTTTCCCTAGACAGTACTGCTCTTGGGACGATCTTGATGAGTGGGAGCTGTGTGTGCAATTGAAAAGCTTCTCTGGAAACCCCTGTGTGGAATCCATGCCTGCATCTCATTGGGCAGACTCATTCAGTGCCCATACAACCTGTTGTGACATGTGTTTGCTTTTTGTTAAGTTTGCTATGTTGGCACAGGAACACAACCAGGGCTGTGTCCTCAATGATAAAGAGCAGGGACAATCATATGACATTATGTTTGTCAGTTTGCTGCCCACTTAAATCCTTGACTCAACAGCCACACCGGAATTTACGGGGAAGGTGAAAGCACAGACTAAACAAAAACTTAAACACAAAGAGTTGTAGCAACTTTAATCACAGTTCTCAAACCTGGAAGCAATCCAAATGTTTATGAAGACATGAAGGATAAATAAATATCCTTCAGTAAATACCCAATGACAAAATACTACCCAGCTGTGAAAGGGGGGGTGAATTTCCAATTCACACCATGATTTTGGTCTGATGGTTAATATTGATTGCCAGTTTGATAGGGCATAGAATGGCTTAGGAGACAAGCCTCTGGCAGTCTGTAAAGGGTTGCCTAGATGAGGTTAGCTGAAACAGGAAAATCCACTCTGATGTTGTGTGTCACCATCTAATGGGCTGGGTCTGAACCAAATAAAAGGGAGAAAGGGAAGATGATAAAAGGGCTGAAAAAGAAATCAGAGAAACATCACCCTTTACAATTACCACAAACAACATAAAATACCTTGGGGTAATGCTAACCAAACAAGTGAAAGACCTGTATCGCAAGAACTTTGAATCTTTAAAAAAAGAAATTAAAGAAGCCCTCAGAAAATGGAAAGATCTCCCATGCTTTGGATAGGTAGAATCAATGTGGTAAAAATGGCAATCCTGCCAAAAGCAATCTACAGATTCAATGCAATCCCCATTAAAATCCCAGCTCAATTCTTCACAGACCTTGAAATAACAATAATCAATTTTGTATGGAAAAAACAAAAGACCCAGGATAGCCAAAACAACCCTGTTCAACAAGGCAACGTCCGGAGGCATCACCATCCCTGACCTCAAGCTCTATTATAGAGCTATAGTCCTGAAAACAGCTTGGTATTGGCACAAAAATAGACAGGTAGGCCAATGGAATCGAATTGAAAACCCGGATATTAACCCACACACGTACGAACATCTGATCTTTGACAAAGAAGCTAAAAATATACAATGGAATAAAGAAAGCATCTTCAACAAATGGTGCTGGCATAACTGGAGGCTGGCATGTAGAAGAATGCGGATCGATCCATGTTTATCGCCATGCACAAAACTTAAGTCCAAATGGATCAAAGACCTCAACATAAATCCAGCCACACTGAACCTCTTAGAAGAGAAAGTGGGTGGTACCCTTGAACGAATTGGTACAGGAGACAGCTTCCTGAGCATAACACCAGTAGCACAGACAGTGAGATCAACAATTAATGTCCCTCACCCGAAGAGTGGATAGAGAAAATGTGGTACATTTACACAATGGAGTACTATTCAGCAGAAAAAAATAATGGAATCTTGAGATTTGCAGGCAAATGGATGACACTAGAAGAAACCATCCTGAGTGAGGTAACCCAGTCACAAAAAGAGAAACATGGCATGTACTCTCTCATATATGGATTTTAGACGTAGATCTGGGGAGTGCCAGCCTACAATCCTATGGCCAGAGAGTCTGGGAAACAGAAACTTCATTTAGTGGCTGATCAAAGAAGAGGCAGACTCCCTGGGTTAAGTACTGAGCTGAACTCAAGAAAGCCAGTAACAGAGAGAGAGGACTGATGACCAAAGGGATTAAGACTGGGCTGGTTTAACCCCCAGAAACAGCTGACCAGACAAAGGTTAACTCTTGAATCCCAGGCGTCAGCCTGGGAATCCAGCATGGGACTGATCAAGACCCCCTGAATCTGGGTGTCAGTGAGGAGGCCTAGGTAATCTTTTGAGCCTTGGGCAGCAGATCAGTACCCATCCCAAGTATACACACGGACTTTGGACTCCCATCCAACAATGTGAGGTGCACTCTCACCCTGAACTCTTGGGGAAGGGTCTAGGCCCTGCCCTATATGAAATGACAGACTATGGACACCCCCATGGAGGGCCTCACCCTCCCTGGGGAAATGAGGGGGTAATGGGGGAGTTGGGGGGAGGGCATGGGAGGAGGGGACGAAAAGGGAGAGGGACCTGGAACTGACTTGTGAAGCAACCTTGTTTCTTATCTAAATTTAAACTGAAAAATAAAAAAAATATCAATCTCCCTTGCCTCCCGACTGTGGCTGTGCTGTGACAGGCTGCCTCATGCTCCAGCCACTGTGGCCTCCATGTCATGATGGGCTGTGAGCCAAAATCAAATGCTCCAGGCTGGAGAGGGGGGCTCAAAGATTGAGCTACTTTCCTGTTCTTTCTGAGGATCAGAGCTTGTCTCACTTCCTGAAAATTCAGTCTGGTCTCTCGGCTCCAACTTCATCCAACTTCAGCCTTGTGTGCTTAGCCCTTTCAGTATCCTATCTGTTCATATAGCTTTAGTCTTCACGAACTCAGAGAAATCTTTCTTCAAAAATGAGGGAGAGGGAAGGAGGGAGGGAGGGAGGGAGGGAGGGAGGGAGGGAGGGAGGGAGGGAGGGAGGGAGGGAGGGAGGGAGGGAGGGCATTTACAACATTTCTTCCCCAGAATCGACACAGAAAGCTTGGAGAGTAGAGAACGACATTCTTTGTCCTGAACCGGACAGGAGCATGTGCAGGGCAGAAAAGTGTTCCCCAGGCCACTTGCCCCGGGACTCCAGCCCGGGCTTGGTAGAATTGCCTGGGCGCCTCATAAAGAGGAGAATGAAATTGACAGCGGATCTAGAGAAAGGGCCAGTGGCTGCACTGTGTCTCCAGCCAAACCCTTAGTTTCCATAACACTCCGGGTACGGAGGTGGGATGGAGTGACAGGCTTCCAGGAGCAGGGCTCTCTGGGAAGCTCAACTCCTACATCCGTAAAGGTGGATGGTGATGGGCGGGGCCAGGACCCAGGTGCTGAGAAGATGAACCTGGGGTTAGACCCTTCCCCTTCCCGGAGTCACAGTGCATCTGACTTTGGGTCAGGAAACCACGTGGATAAAAGAGGCTTTTCCTTAGCTGCACCCTCATGGATGCTGAACCAGCCACGCTGCTCCGGGACTCACCTCTGAGTGAAACATCCCAGTAAGGAAAAAGGATACGACCATCTTCCCCCGCCACCGTCCCCGGTCGATCTCCAGTTTGCACCTAAGACACAGCTGTATAGCCCGACAAATTTCCAAACATGAGGCGACCATCCCGCTGTTTTCTTTTTGCAGAGACGATCCCTAAGATCCTGAGCGGACCCTACCCCTCCACTTCACCCCGCACTGCAGTTCCCTCGGCAGCCTTGGCTCCTGGATACACCCAGACAACTTTCCCAAGCCTCCTCTGCGCTCTCGCTCTCGAGCTCCGTCCATTCCAGCACCCTCCTGCTGGATCCTCTTTGATTTTTACTGCTTCTTGTGGTTTCAGCAGTCGGTTCTGGAGTCCCAGCTTCCCGGTCCCACCCCCACCCCGCAACACACAATAACTTGCTGTACATAAAGTATAACTGGACTGAGCATCCTTCCAGGTGAGGCAGGAGGCTCCCACAGCCAGGATGGTATCCCCGCCCCAGTCAAGAACTGAAATGACAGGCTAGAGACTCTTACATCATCTGTCCTTCCAGCAGCTGGGATTCCTATGGGTCTGAGGTCTGCACTACAGACCCAGGTTTAAGCTACGTGCTGCTAGGGACAGAAGAGCCAAGCAGCTTCATAGGGAAAAAAATCTAACTTCGTTTAAAAGTGGGGAAAATGGGACTGAGAAAAATAAACACTGGTGCATGCTCTGTATTAGAAGCTATCATCAATGCCCTTGGGAAATCTGGACCACGGAGCAGGAGGCTTTGTTTGTTTTTGTTATGGTGTTATTCTTATTTATCAGTCCATGAGCGTTCTGTCCTGTCTGATTTCTCTGAGTGTATGCACAGTGTACTCAGAAAAGTTAAACATCACACTAACAGGTTGATCCCCTTTCTGTGCAGGATCAGACAGGAGTAACCTGTGTTCTCCCCACCTACCACCAATCCCTGACTTTCACAGCACTGCCCTCTGATGCTGTCCCCCACCACCCAGTGATACTGCTAAGCTTGAATTGTCCCTGGAGTTGTCTGTGCCTTCTTGTGAGTGGGATTCTGGTCCCTACCTTCCAGAATTCCCTGCGTGAAATTTTAACTATGGTTATCTAGAAACCTGCGGGGAAAAAAACCTGAATTCTTCCCTCAGCCTAAACCAAAACACTAGCTCTCACACCGCATCTCCCATAGGACTGGACAGTGGTGCAATTTTGTTTCTGAAAAGGAACCCCAGTGCAAGTGTCCCAGCTCTTCACTTCATTTGGCTGGTGTGGATTTGAAGGATCAGGCATAAAAATTCATCCAGACTGGCTTTTGTCCTCTTAAAACAATTGTTGTGTAGCAGTTTTCTCCAAGATGTGAACATTCCACCCTACAGGGAAGGCTCAAAGCCTTCAGGAAGTTCCTGAAACTGACCAGATTCACTGACCTCTTCTGTTCCCAAGTGTATGTAATGAGTGAAGACTGATGAGAGACAGTCTTAGACAACAAGCTAAGCCACCTGGAAGAAGCCTCAGCAACTGAGCCATCTAGAAAGGACAATTGTCAACTTGTCAAGTTGCCTGCAGGCTGTGCTCCAAGCTCCTGGTTTTTGTGAACTGTCACCATGCTGGGGTAGACTATATTGATGTAACTGTCTTTGAGCTATTTCTGTTCCTGTAAGTAACCCCTCGCCAATATTCTTGTAAATAACTTTGATAAACACATTGGCTCTCTTAGGTTGAATTGAGTGGTATTCATGCTTCAGTCTGTCATTACTCCCTATCTGAGGTGAGTAAGTATTCATTCATGTCACCATGGAAAGTGTCACACAATAAAAATAAGAACAGTATCTTCCTCCCTGAAAGGAGGGACTCACCCTCCCTGGGGAATGATATGGTATTGGGTGGGGGGCTGGCGGAGGGACAAGGGAGGAAGGGTGGGAGAGGGAGCTGGGATTGACATGTGAAGCATTTATATTTCTAATTTAAATAAAAACATATACTGAGGAAAAAATAAGAATAGTATCTCCCTTGAGGCCCCTAGGCAATTGTTACATAATCAAATGACCTTAACTTCTGATCAGATTGGGAATGAAACATGCCTTGGTCAGTTTTATGAATGAGCGAGGAAGGCAGGAGCTGCTTATGGATACAGAGACATGCCATGAATGCATCCAAGATGGTGGGGACAATGAGCCAAGGAATAAAGGAAACCTGAAGGACCTCAAGGAGGTTGGAAAGCTACCAGAAAGGGACAATCCTGTTGACTCTGGGACTTAGCTCAATAAGGAACCACTTGGGATGATAACTAGAACAAATTCTTCTTTTAAGCCACCAAGCTTGCAGTAACTTGAAAGGGAAGCAAGAGGAAAACCTGCACCTGAGTAGCCGTATGGCCCCATTTCTCTTGGGCTCTGACCATTGAGATGACTAAAGGGGGGTCTCATTGCTAGACCCACTGTCCCTGCCTACACTTTGCTACTGAGTGACAGTTGGTGTTTTAGAAGGATGGTGCACCTCCATGAAGAATGGGTCCTCATGAATCCCTTCCCACTCCATGCTAGAATGGTAGCTTACCTTGTACAGGCAGCCACAGTTGCCATGAGTCTATGAGTGCAGATTCCTGCCGTGTCCCAAAGGCACTGTTTTGCTCTAGTCACCCCATCCTTTGGCTGGGACAGAGTTTCCACCCGCTTCTGTGCTGTTCCCTGAGTTGTGTTTCTGTGGATGGTGAGTGTGCGTGTGATACGTGTTTGTGTGGTATGTGTGTTTGTATGGTGTGTATGTGGGTATGTGGTGTGTTTGTGTGATGTGTGTGTGTGTTTGTGCATGTGTGTGATACGCATATTCTACTTAGGGTGGAGTGCTCCACACACATATTCTCTGCACTTCGGCCAGTTGTTCCTGTGTTAACCATTGTCCATTGAACAAAGAGACTTCACTGGTGAGGTCCGTGGAAGCAGGCACAGCAAGAAACCACTGAACAAGGCCACTCCATGGAGAGAAGTAGTTTATTGAAGACAAACTGCCAGGCTGCCTCAGACAATAGAGAAACAGCAGCTGGGCACAAAAGCTTGCAGGGTTTTATATGGGTACGTGACAGGGGGCAGCTAGTGGGTTGGAACAGCCAGGGGCTTAGCATGGAGACTTTCCAGGGCATGGAGGAGTTGACATTTGTGGTTAGGAACAGACAGCCACCTGTTAAGGACTTCTGAGAAATGTTGAAGTTTAGGTTTTTGTTTTTAGCCAAGACCAGCCCAGGTAGGACCTCAGCCATCATCTTCAAACATTACCACCAACATTGCCATTTTGGGGCCCATTTTGTGACCTAAGTCTGAGAGTTGCACTACAAGTATATAGACACAAATTTAAAGTGTAGTTTCATACCAGGCACATTTAGCAAAAATAATACTAATAGATTTAGCCCTGGTGCCTTTGAGAACTCCAGCTTTGCAATCTTGGCCAGATTTATAACACCAGGCATGTGTTTTTTCCTGGGTAGAAGGCCTTAAATCCAATCAGAGAACTATGAACAGTTAGTGAATTCTGTGGGGAGGTGTCAGTTTTCATTAAGGGTGTGGTTCCTGCTAATTCAATTATGCTGCAGTTGCATGACCACATACTCAGAAGTATAGGAATGGCACACATAGGAATTTACAGGATGTTAAATTTAAAGGTGTGTGTGTATGAAGAGATGTCTCAGGGGTTAAGACCCCAAGATACTCTTGCAGAGGACCTCGTTTCAATTCCCAGTATCCACATGATAGCTATAGCTCCAGTTTCGGGGGATCAAACACTAACACATCTTCTGGCTCCTGAGAACACAACACACACACATAGTACACAGACACACATGCAGGCAAAACATCCATACAGATAAATAAAAATGGTGACTTAAATTTTAAAAAAGGAGTTGAGGGGGTAGAGAGTTGGGGGTAGATATCAAAATATGTTGTATGATATTCTCAAAGTTTTACTTAAACATTAAAGCTTTTAAAATACTCATTTAAAGAGAGATACACAAGGAGAGTTTGTTGTTTGGCACTTGCCACGAGATAATGGCTTTTCCCTTACTATCACCTGAAAGAGCTGCTCAGTGTAATTACATCACGGCAGACAAATGCATCCCCCTTAAACACTGTGGCTGTGTTAAGGGCTTGAATTTACCACAAAGAAAATAAAGAACAGCTCAGGTTCCTTAGTAAAGGTTGTGTTCTATGCTAAAGCTAAGAGCAAATCAAAGTGATGGCACCACGTCCAGCAGTCATTAGGACATTTTGGGGTCATTGGGAAGAAATACTCAGCTACCAATGGCCTTTTTACCACCGACTTACGTGAGTTAGGAACTGTGATCCTCCTGGAGTGATTTTTCTTCAGCATTGTTTTAATAAGTAGGTTTAAAGCAGAGAGCTAAGGAGACTGGGAGGGGGCTCCTGCTCTTCATGGCACAGGGGGTATCTGGGAATGTTTAATTCTCTGCAGCCCGGGCCAGCTGGGTCTGGAGGATGGATGACTAATGGTGGCATTGGTGTCCTGTGCCCCCTGTTATACAGTGAACTGAGGGGATGGATCATTAGATGGTGGTAGTGCCATCGCGTTGGTTGGGTTGGACCAGTAGAACAGCTATGAATAATGCATAATAAGATCAACACTACAGGAGAGTAATAGTCTCGCTATGACGAGGAAATACAATGGTGAGGATGACAGAACAGAGAAGATTAGGAGAAAAGCTCTAGCAAAGCCTGCTGCAGGAGTGGGAATGGCAGGGGAGGTGATGGATGTCTCTCTGTAGGTACGATTTTTGAATTGCTGCAGTCAGGTATCCAGTGCTGAAGATCTGACTGTGCGCCCCACGGAGAAAGAGGTCAAGCTGGAACTCACTGACATTTGTTTTTCTATTGCTACTCTAGCACGGTGGACTTCAGAGATGAGGCGGCTAAACTTTTAGTCTGTCTTATTAAGCATTCATGGCATTCTCTTAGCCTGAATATCACAGGGAAGGGAATTCTGGGAAATATAATCTCATTTTCTCCAAACTGACACAGAGCAAACAGCTGCCATCTCCGTAAATGGATGTTTAGAGATGTGATATACAAAAACCATCCAAAGGAACACCTGGCTTTTAAAACTAACATAAATAAAAAGATTGGGGCTTAAGAGATGGGTTAATGGTTAAGAACGCTGGCTGCTCTTCCAGAGGACCAGGGTTTGATTCTCAGCAGCCACATGATGCCTCATGACCGTCTGTCATTCCAATTCCAAGGGATCTGACCCCTTTTTCTGGCCTCTGGGGGCACAAGGCATGTACATGGTACACAGACATACATCCAGGTTAAAGACACACATTAAATAATTTTAAAGTGGCATAAATATATAATGGATAATTTGTAATTG